AGAGTCATAACTGTGCTTTCTATAGAGTTTATTATACAAACAACCAGCTATTGTAATGTCAAGGCTCAATCAACTGATGAAATGGGGAGACTTTCTGGAAAACTCCAGATGTACTGCTCATAGCCTGATTCAACACAGCATCTGCTTTGATGTGGAGATTCGGAGACCACCCAGCCTAGCCTAAGCACAAAGCAAATGGGATCAATGGATCAGGAAAGACATTCAGTCTTAGATAAGGTTGCGCCAACCTTTTTCTCTCTATTCCATTCTATAGAAAGGATGTCAAAACTGTAGGGAACACGTGACTATGAATGAGTCACCAAAGGGTTTATCGGATCCTTTGATAGACCTTATCACTGTGAAGCCTTGGGAGACTGGAGTGCAAGACAGAGAGCAAACAGATTCCAATGGTAAACAGAAGGTTCTTTTGTATGCACTGTTAATCTTACCACACTTGAGAAACCTTTCATCCTTTATCGCTGTTGTTTGGGAGAAGCTAGGGCCAATTAACTGATTAGAGGAACTGTTAGAGGAACAGGAACTTCTTGTTTGTAAGCGAATGGTGTATAAGATGTGTGTTGAATACAATAAAGAAGAACTCTTCTGACAAGCAACTGAGAGAGCTCTCTAACCTGACTGAGCGCCGACAAAAAACCACTTTCCCTGCAAGGATCTCCCACCCTTTTCCCGAGGGTTTATAACGCATGCTATTAGGCAGTTCTTCCTGAGATTCACTTTGAATTGCAGAACATATTTCTTCAAGATGTTAAGGCCCTCCTAGAACAACTAGCAGAAATGTAGCTTGGCTCACAGGCTTTGTCACCATAAATGGCTTTTATCTCTAGTTCTAGCAGTCTTTACTAGCCAGACATCCACTTTGAACACCCAGCAATTACACCTTCAAAATATATTTTCACACCTTCTGGAGTTTTTGTTGAGTTTTTGAAATGTGAGGAGTTGTTGCCTTTTTGAGTAAAAAACAAAGCTCCTTTTGAAAACGTCAAGAAGTCATTATTATGCAGTTCAGAATGCTTATTCCACTTCACATAAGATACTCTGAAGATCCCAGCAAGAGTAGAGATTGGCATAGCAGCAGAGTTCTCTTCTGCTATGGTGAGAGATCACTAATCATTGATGCAGAGCATAGGAAACCAATAGGCTGCTATTTTTTGTCAAAAGCACAATGTCTTCTCTGCCACGAGTAAAACATCTCATCTTGCAAAATGCCTTGCAAGCACTGCAGCTCAGAAATAGCATTCTCTTCTCCACAAAAACAGTCCAAGATTCAAAAAGTAGCTCTGCCAAATCGATTACACAAACCAAAAGAGGCAACACAGGAATAACCTGTTCATTGGCAAAGCTGGGCACTGATCCATCGAAGGCTTCTAACGCTTGGATTAAGGTTTTCATTTTCTATCGAGAGTAACTGACAAGTAGCGAAGAGTCTGAAACGGGCTAGAATTTCCTCCAGTACTTTCCCTTCCTAAGAAAAAGCCTCTGCAACAGAGCCATGCTACCAGGCTGTCAGATGAAGAGTCTGCACGAAAGTCTGGCGGTCACTCGGGAAAGGCTCTGGCTCAGAGCCCCCTGGAATGACGAGGACTTGTCTGCTTCTGGCATTCTTTGGAGCATTTTGAGAGGCACTGACAGTTGTCAGCCCATAGAGCTGTCTGGACTCCTCTGATCTGGGGTCACGATGGCAGTGGGCCGCAGCTCCTGGGCCATGGGGAAGATGTCCCTGTTAATGACTGGGAAGCTGCAGCTCCGATCTTCATGGCAGAAGCTGCGTTATGCTTCTCGTTATGGGGAGATCTGTCTGCTCCTTCCTCTCCCGGATCCCACCAGGCCAGCCCCATCCACATGCTAGATCCTACGAGCAGTTATTTCTCTTAGCGCTGCATCTGTGTCTTCTTAGTCAGAACACTAAACTTCAGTGTGTCGAGTTTACGTACAATAAAGTTCATCAGGAAAGTTGCTTTATAAGCTAAAGCCAGAAACTGTCTGACATTCTGGTCTCCTGCAAGGCTCATCAGAACACATCAGATGAAGAGCGAGCCCGGGATGTAACGAGACAAACTTTGCTGAGGCTTGTGCAGTTCCCCTGGTAGGACAGACTGACCCTGAAAGAGGGATGATACAGATGGAAGGCAGCCATAGACAAACCGGCCTGCACTGCAGCTAATTAACTGATGTTGTCGTGGAGGAAGGTTGCTTGTGGTGACTTAGGTTCTCAGACAAAGGATAAAGGCCACCAGCCTACCCAGAAAGATCTCTCAAGCACGAGCCTCACGCTCTCTCGCGGAGAGACGGCGTTCTCTTCAGCTGCCTGTTTTCACCTGGGTAGCTCAACTACTAATGAAAGCAAACTACTGGAGGGGTGCAGAAAAGCTGGAGTTTGTCCAAGTAAATATCAGCGTGTAACAATTGCAAGTGATCTTGTGTTTCTTTCTCTGGGAATGGTTCACAAAGTGTGTTTGCAGGCTTCACCTCACTCACCTCTTAAATGCAGTTGTCTCAGAGGAAATACAGTGGTCATTTAAGGTGCTCAGCAACGTCACAAAACAACGGAGGGCAGGAAGGAAGAGAAGAAGAACACCGTATTAAATTAAAACTGCCCAAAGCAAAATGTAGGGGGAAAAAAATTGCTTTAAGAGCCATAAAATCAGAAAGGAAAGAGGCCTTGCTTTCAGTCTGTCTTCTGAAGGATGACACATCAAGCAGCAAAGTGACCAGTAGCACTATGCCAGGCTGCTGATTCTGTACCACTGAAGAAGGAAGAAGGCCACCTAATGAAGAATATGCATAATTCAAGCTGAGAAATGAACTGCTTTCATTGTGAACTATAGCGTTCCCATAGCCGTGTCTCCCCAGGAATGCACTGTAGCCAAAATAATAGTTTGCACTTCACCTCCAAAGAATTTCACACAGGCCAGCCTCTGGAGCCAAACAAATGCATTATTTAGTGACTTTACCATTTTATTGCTGACGATTTCATTGGGTTTGTTTTCACAACCACTTCTGCTTATGCTAAAAAGAAGCGTCACAGAGCGCCATTTTTACTGGTGTTAACAGAGAAAAGCACGGCTGGCAAAATGAAATACCTAGTTGTCCTTGGATTTTAGCAACTTGTAATTTCTTCGGCCTCCGTATTAAAAGCTGCATGTTGCCATCTAGCTCACGTTCAAAAATATGGTCACTATGCATCTGAATTGACTGTATTCATTTCTTAGCAGGACAATGCAGCTTCCCCGAGTGTGATTTGCAATATCCAAATCACAGCGTAGAGATTTAATGACTTCCCTTTAACGACTTAAATACTATTAAGCACTTGCAAAAGTATCTCATTCTGTTAAGTCTTCGTGGGCAGCAGCTTCTTCTGCTCTTACACATAATCTGTACCTCATAGCCTGCGCATCCTCTGATATGCTTTCATGGGTATCTGCAGCAAGACAGAACGCTTCAGAGGAAAAAGATTACACAGCAGCATCACTGTGAGGAGCTCGTATGTATTTGCTCTGCAGTTAAGGCTGAGACTGACATTCCATCATAAGCCCAATAAACATAGATAGATCCTTCAAGGGACAGGAGTCAAAACCCAAAACCTATTTAAGTGTTAAATGCTCTCCCAGTGTTTTTTTTCCTCGCGACTTAATCTAAAAAGCAGTTCTAAAACCTTCTGTGAAGCTGAATTATAGGGGTTTAGTTTAGGGCAGCTCTGAGAGTTGATGCCACCAAATGACTGAGAACTGTGTGTTGTTAGCAGAGGAAAGCTGGTTCGCTTCCTTTTCCTTTGAGGAATGCTAAGGCTTAATGATTACAGCTGAAAATGCACCGATTTTTTTCAGTCTTTTGTTTCTAAGGGCACAAGCAGCATCTTACGGGCTGGGCTATTAAGCGTTGCCTTGGGGAAGGAGGGTCAGTGTTTCTGACTTTCCTGGGCCTTACTTCACATGCAGAAGTCTACAGCCAGTTAAAGTAACTTCAGAATATAACAAATCCAGCCGGCGTGTACCTGCAGTGTCTGAGGAAAAAAGTCTTCACCTGAAAGCAGGTTGTGGGTTGTTTGTAGGTTTGCAGGGGTCCTGAATAAGCATTTATTAGACACCATTAAGAACTCCTTTTTGTACAGATAGTGCAATATTTATAATTTATCACGGGCGAGAGGTTCCGCTCTCTGCAAGACAACGATTCCTGAGCTTTTAGTAACTCTTGTTTAGATCGACAGTAGGTACATTTCAGAGTCCTTAACTCTCGTACCTCCACGAAAAGAAATGTGAGCTTTTTCAGTGCAATTTTATCTTTATGAACACAAAATGACAGAAAGCCCTTCTCTCAGTCACGTAGGAATTTCACTAATTCCAGCCTTCCTAGCAATCACACGATGAACCACGAAAAGATGCATTTTAAATTTCTCATTAGACAAACATACTGCATGTAATCTTCATGGAGATCCCGCACGTCACCGATTACGCGAGCATCATTAAGCACTGAGTGAATACATCCGCGGTTCCAACTCTCCTTTGCCAGTCTCGTACAATTGGAGCACGTGTACAGAAAGAGAAACAACGATCTGACGCTGTAGCACAGCGTGTGGATGGAGATGTGCACATGCAAGATGAGTCCGGAGCCCTTCTGCACGTTGTCACTGCATCGTCGGGGCGGACCGCTGGCTGCCAAAGACAAAACGTGAGGATTGCTTTGTAGCTCCAGTTCAGGATAAAGTTGCTGACTTGTCATCCAGTGGGAGCCCATCCCAGACCTCCCCGTTCTCCTCAGTATGGGGCTGTCTGCACAAGCTGAAGGAGGATGCCCTAAGATCACAGCTCCGGCCTTTTTCATCCCACGTTGACACATGAAGGCTCTCAGGCCCCTTCTGTGCCTTCCGGATAGCTTGCCCTTTCTGTTTCATTCACCACAGCTTTCGGCAGCTTTGAATCACCCGGTGATCTGTAGGCACAAAGAGGTTTGAGAGGAATCCGTGGGCAACTTCTTCAGGCCTCTCAGTCAGATTCTATGCGTGACACCTCTTTCCTTTGAGCAGACGTGCCCATGCACAGACAGCAGGTTCTCAAAGCAGGGGACACATGTCAATAATTCCTTTATAAGCCGAGGAGTTGTACCACACAGAACCGTTGGTGAAGCTCCGCTTCCGATTTCCACTGGTCAGCAATTTTCCCAGGTGCATCATTCACCCGTTTGGACGTTTGTCAGATCTCCACTCCCACATTTCCACTGCTGCCTTGTCGTGTTTTCTCTGTCAGGTACCAAGTTTTTACACGTTTAACAAACTTTTTTTTTTTCTTTCGTTTTTTTTTTTTTTTTTTGGACAAGGGGAGAGGGAAAGCAGAGCAAAGACAGCACGTGGCAGGGGCCTCTGGAAACTGTTAAGGCTGAAGACGTTCTTTGAAAGGGCGTCGCGTGAGATGCAAAGTGATCCGTTTGAATTAGACACTATTATTTAACTTATTAGTGAGTCTCGCAGTGAGGCGAGGAGAAGCGCGTAACAAACTTTAATGGAAAGTGCAGTTAAAGTCCTCAACTCAGATGTAGAGTCCACGTGTCTAGCTGTCAGAGTCCCCGGCCGGCCCTAACGAGCCCCACCGGCGCTAACGAGGCAACGACTCCCAGCTGCCGAGGGGCCGCGGCCTCCCGAGCGCAGCTGCGCCTCGTTCGCAGCGCGGGGCGGAGCCGCCCCAAAGCCTCTTAAGCTCCGCCGGAGGCCGCTGGGAGCCACGAGAGGGCTGCCGGAGTGCGTCGTCTGCGGGAGCGGGCTCCGTTTCTCTTGTTTGGTTGTTACGCCGCCGGGGCTGCAAAGCTCCGCGAGGGGCTGCTCTTAAAAGGGGGCCTTGGGATTCTTTGTAACGTTCTCTGCTGTTGTGTTGTTTCAGGTTGCGGCGAGCCGTCTCCCGGTCAAGATCAGCGCGAACCGGTGAATCGTTCTGGTGGCGACGGGACCGCGGAAGCGGCCGGCGCTCGGGTCCGTCCTCTCTCGCCGGGCTCCGTTCGGGGGCCGGCACGGGGCTTCCGCCGGGCTGCCCCGGCTGCTCGAAGCCCGGGTCACATCGGCGCCCGGCTGCCGTCGCGTTTTCGGAGGGAGCTGCCGCTCGGTTCCCCGAGTGCTAACGCGGTCCTGAGGGCTCTCAGTCCCTCCGGGGCTTTTCGGCGGGGACTTCGGTTTCTCCCAGCCTTATCGGTAGGAGCGAGCGGGATGGGGCAGCGTTCCTCCGGCGTTTGTGCTGGGAATGAGAAGCAACGTTTTTCTCCTATTGCAGGCTGAGCGGAGGTTGCAGCAAAACCTCTCGTCACCCCGACCCGGTGAGATGGTGGAAGCGGTGTTTGGGAGTCACTTGGTAAGTTCTCTCATGTTGGGGCTCGTGTAGGGCCACGGCTCGGACGCTTCTTTGGGATCAGCACGGCGCCGCCGCCGAACTGCCCGAGAAGGGTTTTGCGGGCGCTTCAGCCCCTTCTGCTTCCAGCGGTGGGAGCGAGATGGATGAGACAATGTATTCCTTCCCCCCCCCTCCCACACACGCTTATTTGTAGCTTCAGGAGCCTGACCTCGTTGCCATCATGAAGACGTGGTGGGAGAGCTCCCACGACTGAAATGCTGTTGTGGATGGCGGCGTTCCTTATAGGAGAGACAAACAGGTGAGGTGGTGGAGTTTCTCTTCCGACGAGAGAACTGGAATGTACTGAGCCTCCACGACAAGGTGATGGGACAGCTTGGGTCTAGATGACAGCTGCAAGTGACCTGATGAGCAAAAATTTCGAAGTGGTCATGGTGAATTCGGTGAGGGGGAATGATGCTGGACCAAGGAGGTAGCCTTCTGTGTTGTGACTGGTTAGACGAGAGAAGGGCTGTGGGGGAATATCTTACTGTCGGTAACTATCTGAAGTGCGGGAGTCTTGCTGACGGTGACGACGGGCTCATTCAGGCACCGACAGGAGGCGTGAGGTGGAAACACTCACAGACCGGAACGTCAAAAGTAAGACCGCTTGTGCTGCGAGAGCGATAGAATGGGCTGCGGAGTCTCCTTCTCCGGGGGTCTGCAGGTTGCGTCCGGATGCTTTTCCGGGTGATGTGTAACAGGGAAACGGCCCCGGTCGACATCGTCGCAGGGCGAGTGCCGCAACGGAGCATTTAGCAGCGAGGATCCGCCTGAGCGTGGGAGCGGTTTCACCGGCGGTGAGCGACACGAGGGCTGCCCTCCCCCAGCGTCCTCTGAGGAGCGGTTCACGGAGCTCTCCTGCGTGTCCAGGGCCGGAGCGGGGATCGTGCTGGTGAGGTAAGCGGTGTCCTCTGGTGCCTGATCTGTGCGTGCTGCCTCCGGGCTGGAGTTTCCAGCTGGGATCGGGTGCTGGGGCGTGTGGTTTCTTCTTTGAGTCTTCAAGGTGCGTGTGGTGGCTCTGCTGCTGGAAGAATGGAATTGACAGACTGAGGGGAGAAGCGCAGCCTGCGGGATTGTGTCACCTGTTCCTGCGGGGAGCTTGGTGAGGTCCACCCTGGCCAAGGTGTGTTTTTACTTTAGGTTGTGTTGCAGGAGGCATCCTGAGAGGAAAGTCCCCGTCCTCGGCCGGCAGGCGTGCTGCACCCATGGAAGGAGCAGAGGAGAGCCCCCGGGTAGGCAGCGTTTGTAGTGGTGTGTCGGGTGGGCGTCTGTGTAGTCCTTTGACCTGGGAGCCCCAGTTGGGATCCCTTTAGTGGGTGTAGAGGTGGAGGTCGGGTAGTGTATGGGAGCTGCTGAATGCTGGTCTGAACCTCTGTCCACCTACGTGAGCACAGGCGAAGGCAATTCAGCTGCCCTCCTGGATGGGGCGGAGCCCGGCGGCACCTCTCTGAGATCCATTGAAGAGCGGACTGCGAGTGCGGGAGGATCTCTCGGAGTCTTCCCCGCAAGCCTGGCAAAAGGTAAGCATTTCTACTGTTCTTTGGTGCGGTGACTTGTTTGGCCTAAGTTTTTTTTGTCTGGGTGTCTTCTAAGTTTGTGGTGTTTTTTGTGTGTTTTTTTTTTTTGTCTGGATGTCTTCTAAGTTTGTGGTGTTTTTTTTGTCTGGGTGTCTTCTAAGTTTGTGGTGTTTTTTGTGTGTTTTTTTTTTTGTCTGGATGTCTTCTAAGTTTGTGGTGTTTTTTTTGTCTGGGTGTCTTCTAAGTTTGTGGTGTTTTTTGTGTGTTTTTTTTTTGTCTGGATGTCTTCTAAGTTTGTGGTTTTTTTTTTTGTCTGGATGTCTTCTAAGTTTGTGGTGTTTTTTTTGTCTGGATGTCTTCTAAGTTTTATGGTGTTTTTTGTGTTTTTTTTTTTGTCTGGGTGTCTTCTAAGTTTGTGGTGTTTTTTGTGTGTTTTTTTTTTTGTCTGGGTGTCTTCTAAGTTTGTGTCTGACAAATGTTTTATTCATGGCTTATATTGTTTGTTGGTTAAGTTTGTTGGGGGGAGAGGGCAGCCTGCACACTTAGGTGTGCAGGCTGCCCTCTCCCCCCTTGGGATGGGGCTGTTGACTGAAAATTGCACTATCTCAAAAGAGATTATTTTTTTTGGGTGGGGGGCGGGTGCAGGTCAGTAACGGAAATTTTTCCTGCCCTGGCTGCCTCCTGCCCCCCACCCTCCCTGGCCTCCCCCCCTCCTGCCCCCCACCCTCCCTGGCCTCCCTCCCTGGCCTCCCCCCCCTCTCCTGCCCCCCACCCTCCCTGGCCCCCCATCCCTCTCCTGCCTATCTGGGCCCCCCATTCCTCTCCTGCCTATCTGGGCCCCCCATTCCTCTCCTGCCTATCTGGGCCCCCCATCCCTCTCCTGCCTATCTGGGGGTCTTATCCCTGGGTCCTGGAGTGGTCCTGTGTGGTGATGGCTGCTCTCTGGTGGTTTTCCTGGTCCTGAAGGTAGGAGATGGAGTTGTTCTGTGTCCTGCTGAAGGAGAAAACTTGGTTTATTTCAAGCCCCAGGTAAAACCTGTTTGAAATTGTGACATGGGAGGGTGCTTGCTCTGTAGTAATTTAACGTGCTTGGAGGGGTGTGGGGGCATTTTGCTCTTAACAGGGGTTGGGTAAGTGGATAGAAGTGAAGTGCTCCTGTGGTGTCTCAGTACATGTCCTGCATGTGCTATGGCTGGCTTACAATATCAACAGGCTAAATAGGCTGAGAGGGCAAAGGAGTCACAGAGCAGCGATTTTCTTCCTTTGTTACCATCTCCTCTTGGAGATTGGCCTAAAAGGAAAAGAAAGTGAAAATGCTCGTGGAAGCTCCTTTTGAGAGTGCTCTCTGAGGCCAGCTCAATTATTATATGAATAAATGTATAAAACTCTCTTAGGGGTAAGGTTTTACTCAGTGTTTAAGAGCATGCTTCCTCTAAAATGCACCCAATTGAATCACTGGGCAGGTGACTTGAAGTTGTCTAAGCGTACAGTGAAAAGCTAAGTCTCCTGCTTTGAGAAGTCTATTGCTTCAGTTTCACTTTGGCAAGAAGTGAGAGAAGGTCTTTAAATACAATTGTTCTCTCTTCAACATGCGCCCCCAAAAAGTTGGTAACTAAGCTTGCTTCTGTGAGGTAGAAAGCCAGAGATGATAGTTCCCTTTTTGTGGAAGAATTATTGGCCTATGGAGGCTCTTTGCAGTGACTTTCTGCTGCGGATGTGAATGCCCTGTGCTGTGTGTGAGAACTGGAGCGCCTACGAATGTCTGTGCTGACATGGAATGGCTAGGCTCAGCTAGCTCCAGTTCTTGTGGTGAAGTGGATAGCTGCCTGTCTGTGACTGAGAACAACAGTAAACCCTTGCTTACCTCCCAAAGAAAAGGATGCGGTGTCCGTTCCTGCGCTGCTTGAGCCTCGTTCCCTTGCTGCTGATCTTGTTTCGTGGGTAACAGGAGGAGGGAGAAAAATGGTCCCATAAGCAATTGGCTGTTTGGCACGGCGAGCTCTGTGAAAGAAACACTTCATAGACTGAGTAACAAATACTTGCCTTTCTGCAGTAAATAAACTTACTTGTATATATAGTTGTATAATACAACTTACAAGTTGTGTAACTTGTAAGTGTCAGACTGGCTTTACTCACTGAATGAAGTCACCTGCTACGGTGCCGGTGTTGGTATCTTTGCAGCTGTATTTCTGGATAGAAGTTTCTTGAGCTTCCTGAGCTCAAAGGCGGGTGAGCTGGCTGGAGAGGGCAGTGGCAGCAACTGTCTTGCAGGAGGAAAAAAGACTCTTCCTTTTTTAAGACGGGTTCACTGAGCGCTCTCTGGTTTCTTCCTAGGCAACCTGAACTCGTGCTTCTGGGCAAAACCCTTTTGTGTGGAATCTTGGGAAGTTGGTTACTGTGGACCTTTGTCCCCAGCTGAGGCTGAGCTCTGAGGTGAATGACAAAAATGCTCTGTGCTTACTTCTTGAGCTTGCCTGGCTCTCTTTGGATGGCATCCTCTTCCTCACATGCGTTAGCTGTGTTGGACAGTGTGGTGTCACCTTCAAACTTGCTGAGGATACAGCTGATCCCACTCTTGGTGTCGCCGATGAAGGTATTAAAGGGCATCATCGCTGTTTGGCTTCTAGGCATGGATTTGTTTTCCTCATCCGCTGAACAGCCTGGCCATCAAATCTTTGCCGTGCTGGAGAGAAGGTTGCTGTGGGGGACAGTGTCAAAAGCCTTACCGAAATCCAGGCAGTTGACAGCAGCAGCTCTTGCCTGGTCCGCTCACGCCGTCGGGGGAAGGAAGGCCAGTAGATTGTTCAGGTGGGATCCACCCTTGTTGAAGCCAGGTTGGTCTCACTTCGCTTCTCTCTCCCGTGTGCCCTAGCGCGGATTCCGGGAGGATCTGTTCCACCATCTCCTCCAGCATGGAGGCGAGGCTGGCAGGGTGGCAGTTTCCTGAGTCCTCCTTTATAGTCCTCTTAAAAATCAGCAGGACGTCACCCTCTTTCCAGCCACCGCGAGGACTTCACCCGCGTGCCCTGACTCCCGAAATCCCGTCGAGAGTGGCTTGGCAGCTACGTTCGCCGATTCTCTGAAGGCTCTGCCGTGCGTTTCGTTGGGACCCGCCGGGTTCCTCAGGCGGCCGCCAAGTTGATCTTTGCTTACGGTCCTCACCTTTCGGCCGCTGCACCCAGGGGGCGCAGAAGAGCAGCTGACAGTGAAGAAGGAGGCAGAAGTGGTGTTCGGTACCTCAGCTTTCTCCTCTCCTGTTATTAACAGCCTGCCTGTATTGCTCGCTGGGGTGTGTAAGCCGGCCTGGACTTTGTTTGTTTTGTCTTGTTTACCTGTGCTTTTCTTGGCAGTCCGAGTCTGCTGCAGATTTGTCAGCATGTATTGGAGTAATACGGGGCTCTCTCAGCAATGGAAGCAATACTGCCTGGGGGATAAGCAGTTACTAGCATTCTGGAAACAGCAAAACTGAAGTTACCAGTCTTGCAGGTGTTTCAAAGGTGCTAAAATGTAAACCTCTGCTAGAAAAAAGAAATAACTAGAAAGTCAGTCACTGCACTGTGATGCTGCAGGTGCTGGCATTTGCTTCATAGAACAAGACCTGTCATATAAAATGTAGAACTGTAGATAAATGCTGAAAAGAATGTCTCCTTGGCAATAAACAAAATGCTGGTTCAGATCTGAGTGGTGGTGACTTTCTGCTGCGCAGTGTGGTGATACAGCAGTGCTCCATGCTGGCAGGAACACTGCAAAAAGCAGCGGCTCCCACTGAATTTCAGGGACAGCAAGAATTCAGTTTCACTCTCCTCCTGAGAAGGAGGTGGGATGTATGCTGGAAAAGGCTTGAGTGCTGTCGAAAGTTCTTTGTATGACAAGGCAGAAGATTTGCCAGCAATTCAGCGCAAACAAGAACAAAGCTAAAAGAAAATCTTATTGGCTGGATGCAAAAGGAAAAAAAAAAAGGCAAGAAAAAAGAAAAGCCACCATGAACCCAGTACCAAAAGCTTCCTTTAAACATAAACAGTTAGGTGAAAAGCAACAGCCCTTATTATTTACTTCTCCCCCCTCTCTCTAATGTGTTCCTCCAACCTTAAGCACCCCAAAAGTGGCTTCCCATATCCGTGCCACAGCATACTTTTTAAGTACTGGCTTGTGACCTGAAGGAACAGCATCACAGATAATGTGGTGCAGATGAGGGCAGGGCAAAGCGTGGTTGCAGAACAAGGTCAACCTTCAGCATACGTTAAACTGGAGGAAGCAGTTGCCTGTGGGGCGCACGGAACCAAACATTTCTGTAAAAACCAGTGAGTGCTGCCCACTGGGGGCCAACAGGATTTCACCTAACAGTCACATTCACATCTAAATTAATACAGCGTGAAACTGAAGTAGCTTGAGTAACCCCAGTTATTGTGATTGTGTATTTCTGACTGAATATCTGACCTCAAGCATTTGATTGGCAACGAGAGCTGATTCAAGATCTACATGTATCTGAGATCTGTTCCAGCGCTCAAACAGCAGAGAGGCTTCCTAGGTGCCGGGACACCTGCATGCAATCTGTACTGCAAAGAAAACCTCAGACACAAAACATGGCAAGGGATGGATGAGCCTGCTTGCTGTGTGTGCTCTGGGTTACGTTACTCATTCCTTGTGAGCATCCCCATTGCTACCAGCGATGGATAGTAGCACTTACTGTTCAGGTCAGTGCTTGCAGAAGTACACTTTTCAGATAGGCTCTCACCGGCATGAAAAGGATCCTCCTTAGATGGGATTTCCATAAATCCCACAGTGCTCTGTACTTAGCTGAAGTTTATATAACCCAAAGGATATACCAGCAGAGCACAGCATAATTTGGAGTACACCGTGTGGCGGAGTAGGAAGTTTTCTTGGCTCGTGCAGTACTGAGAGAGAAGGCAGATCATTCCTTACTGAATACTGGCAGAGATTTCCAGAAGAAAAGGTGATTTTTTTTTCTGCCTTACCCATCACATTTTCAGTATCTGCCCTTCAGAGTAGCTTTTTTTCTGCCCCGAGCATTTTTTCCTTTGCACCTAATTTTGGGCACCTTTATCATCACTCTCTGCACATAAATATATATATATATTTATATACATATGGCAAAGGACGCATCTAGTGCTT